TTATAAATCCTGCGAAAGGTCTAGACATCCATACGAAATACAATTAACTTAGCAAACTTCGCCTTATACAACGGCTAATTCATCTGCTGGCACTACTTGATCTGATCCCATTTGGTCTGGTTGTTCTTGAAAACATCTATATAACATATGACACATAATATCGCAAACCTTTAACAACAGTAACATATTTTCACTTATTATAAATCCTGCGAAAGGTCTAGACATCCATACGAAATACAATTAACTTAGCAAACTTCGCCTTCAAAACTGCAATTCTGACTYTTCTTTCTAGTATTCAAAATTTACAGTATAATATATATACACTTGTAGTTCCCTCTTATTACCTTTCATTATTCATTCCAAAWGCAATTGTAACAGAGTCTTTCTCTGATATATTTCCAGAGAGGCATTTCAGTTTTGAATATATGCATCTATGTAATCACATATTCTCGTTGTTGTCAAATCAAATCGGTCAAATAGTCGGCAATAAACCACTTTTTGACAATATTGCGCTTATTAGTCATACAAGAAAATAGTATTAATGAAGGTATGGATATACAGAGGACATGTGGGCTCTATGGAAGATGGGACATCTAGCTTCCGACCTGGCTAAATAWAGACCAACCGAGATGATGAAACGTGGAGAAGATTGCAGTACAGCGCGGCACGAAAGGTTCTGTGATCTCACAGTCCCATGCAGTCCATGGCGGAAAAGAAGAACGAAAGTGATCTGTGATCTCCCAGGCCCAAGAAAATAACAAATCTGTCAGTTCTAAAACTACTAATTTTACACATGTATGGTATATATAAATCTAGTTGAACGCTCAGAAGTTGTTTGTTCCAATCTTTGTGAAAGACCGCGTGGCTAATTTATTACATCGCCGGGATGATATTGACTATCGTAAATAATACCATGTTAACGAGTGGGGCTGTAAAATGTGTTGATTTGCAAAAGGACCTGTTGAAATTTTACATCTCTACAGTACAAACTGTTTTTCGTTAAAGCAATAAAAGCGTCGCAGTTTTGAATGGGAGGTCTGGTTAATGTACTATGAATTGGTGAACCTTATACTGAGTTAACAAACCGGTCCAATAAAATACCTGTTACACTGGATTCTTATCGCGGCTCTGGTGGAATTACTAAATCATTWACCTTAAAGGCCAGGGAGTACACAGATCAATCAAGTACGTACTTTATTATTACAAGATAACTGTATCATTCTTAACTCGGAGGTAAGGGGGGCGTTTTAAGTTTAAAAAATCTCCATCATGTACTGAACCTAAGGAATTTGTACTTCATGGAAAGACATTACTTTTTAGCTTTTTGATAGTCGAAGCAATAAAATATAGGTATTGTTCACTTACAGATGAAATTCATCAACGTAATGCAAGTTATCACAA